TTTTGGATTCTCAGACAGGACAAGTGTTTCATCGTTGTAGCCTTTTTTACACAACTCAGGTTGGTGTTCATTTTTTAGATTGGACTTTCCTGCCTTTCAACTGTTATTCTGACCTCTCTCTTATCTATGCACTCCATAATCATAGCAGGCCACTTTTCCTTTTTTCCTTCTTGCAGGACCTCAGCAACCATGCAAGATCAGTTTCAGCATAATGAGCTGAAGGCATTCTCAGGTGAAGACATCCTCAGCATGTGGCTTAATGCATCATATATACATAGTGCATAATTCCATTTGTCAATATTTTTTTGGTATCTCCTGGCGTCTACCTGCGAGCTTCTTCTCACAATGATCAGCTTCAATCCGTGACATCACTTGAGCTTTTCTCTTGGATGAAATTTTATGTTGCAACAAGACCATTTATATCGACCCTCGCTGTTTCTTACTCGTGCTGTACCATACCTAGGCTTCTATGCTGAATGGATTTTTTTCCTCTTCAAACTAATGGTGGATATTGTTCTATGCACCTGAATAATGATATTGTCTGTTCTGAATACCTCTATTGCTGCCATATTGCTAGCTGACTCTGCATTGTTCTGGGCTTTATCTTATTGATTAGTTAGTTCTATTCCAGAGATCCATTGGTTGTTTCAAGGGACAACTCTGTTTCCTCTGTTTACAAGTCTGCAGATGTGGTCAGATTTGAATTTGAATTTGAATTATTATTATTTTTTGCTGGAAAATCCACTGTAGGGGCGGTTCTTGATTGAACTGCCTTACAAATACACACAGCAGGGGCGCCTGGTGATACAGCCGCACTTACAGAAGTCCACTACAGGGGCGGCTGATATTACCAGCCACCCCTACAGAGGGCACTGTAGGGGCGACTGAAAACACCAGCCGCCCTACAGAGGCACCCCCTATAGGAACACCCTGGGAAGAGCGGCTGGCGCAGCCGCCCCTACAGTTAACTTATGTAGTAATGTCTTATCACTAAGGCTGTCATTAAGCATGTCCCTTGATAGCATCGTTGAAGCATTTGGGATTCCTAAATTGGGTAGTTTAGTTATCTGTTGCTCGTCTATGCATGTTGCTTGCTCGGGTAAAGAAGTCTTTGTCTGATCCTGTTATTAGCGTTATAGATGTGCTGCTAGCTACGATTGATGTGTTGCATTTAGTATGGCTTTATAGCAATATCTCCTATATAGTTAGTAGGAGTGATAAAGGACTGCTTGTTAATAATATCAATGTGACGTAACATCCTGCTTCGTTGAGACTTGAGCGTGCTAGTTTCATCACTTTATTGGAACACAAAATTTCACCAAATTGTAGGCATCCTATTTTATGTGTTTTCAAACAATATTAGTCATTCCGCTTAGGAATATATAAAAAGGATGTTTTATCATCTAGCATAGCAAAACAGTATATTTGTTGCCCCTAGATGCATGCTGGATTATAAATGTATTCTTTTCCATATATTCTATACATGGTGAGGCGGCCTAGTTAGTAACTGTTACATAGTTTTAGATAGAACTTTAAAACTTGAAAGATCTAATGAACTCTAATCAATGTGATGTACCTACTCCACAAGTTGTTGCTTTTTTTTAGTTTGCTTATACTCCCTCATCAGACCCAAAAAATATAATTCTAGCACAGTACCTTATTATCTTAAGTCTAACCAACTATATATAAAAACGTATTAATATTCATGATATCAAGTGTCATTAGATTTATCATGAGATATATTTTCATTGTAACTTATTTGGTGTCATAACATTAATATTTTTATTTATTTATTTATTATTTACTTTAACCAAGTATGCACTTAGAATTTTTTTTTTCTAGGACGGAGATAATTTGATTGAGGGTGTGCAATCATAGTTTAATCTGTAGCCATATAACTACAATTGGTTTCTACCTGTCTGCCACTTAAACTATATTGATTTCTAGTTTGGCACAAAATTACACTACAATGACAGAATAGGAAATTATTGTCGAACCATCATTGCCGGGTACGCTGAAGCCGGCAGTGATTGTGCTTCACCGCCGGGTCATAAGGGCAGGACCGGTCAATGTTTGGAGATCGTTATAATCAGGGTAGTGACATATCTGTACCGAATTTGTCCACCGACCGAAAGTGATAGCTGGGATAGGTAGGGCCTGTTTGGCTGCAGGAGCTCTAAAATTTTGTCACATCAAATATTTGGAAATATATATGGAGTATTAAATATAGATTAATTATAAAACTAATTGCACAACTTGCGACTAATTTGCGAGACGAATCTTTTAAGCCTAATTAGTCCATGATTTGACAACGTGGTGCTACAGTAAACATATGCTGATGATGTATTAATTAGGCTTAAAAAATTCGTCTCGTAAATTAGTCTCTATCTATGTAATTGATTTTGTAATTAATCTATATTTAATACTCTTATTAGTATCTAAACATTCGATGTGACGTGAATTTTAGAAGCGCGTAAAGAACTAACATCCCCGTAGTGGTATTTTACTGCCGCTTTTTGGTTTGACCCAGTAGCGACATTATGACATCATTGCTAGGTTTTTGATTGACTGTGTTGTGCTATCCACCAACCACCAATTTTATTTATTTTCCACCGTTAGATCCATCTGCCATGGCTTCTACTTGTAGGGCCTGTTTGCTTCTCAGCCGGGCAAACTTGCCTGCAGCGAGCAGCGTTCCCAGGCGTCCGATTTGGGGCTATGATGCGTGCCTGGCTCGCCTGCTGCCTGGGAGGCACTCAAGCAAACAGGCCTATAAATCATGTGTCCGGACGATTGAGCTCTTCTACTCCCACACAACCACATTCCCACGCACCTTCCCTTCGTAGTTAGTTGTAGTTCGAAGGTACACTCTTTGGGAAGGAATCATGTTTCTAGAAGAAAGCCCTCCATGTACACCTTCCATTCGTAGTCGAGATGGTGGTACTAGAAGAAGCTTTGTAAAGATGGAACCACACTGCATTGAAGGCGAGTTGGACGAAACGCTAGCGTGATCTTCCCCACCCCCCTTGTTGGTTGTCGGTTATAGAAGAAGTTTTGTGCACTATCTATACTCGTCGGAGGGGTTATTATGTATTTGTATATATAATTGGCAGAGGGGCTTATGTGTGTGTGCGTTGGGTGCTGCTATTTTCTATCCTTTGTTTCAGGCGGCAAATGTGGTTCAGACACCCCCCCTCCCTTGCAGAATCCAGAATGTCATCTACCTCACGGATTGCCTGGCAACGCTCAGAGCTTCTAATCCGCTTCCACAACGAGACCATTCGATTCCGAGCCATGTCTTACGGGGACTAGAGGCTGTTTGGTTGGTGGAAAAAAAGGCTCACCAAAATTTATTCATGTTCAAGTTAGGGCTATATCAAAACAGAGATAATAAAATTGTGTTTGATTGTAGCTGAGCCAAAGTTTGGCTAAATTAGAAGAAGCAAAATATATATTTGGATTGCGGCCCAAAAGAGGGGAAATTTATATATATATGTATGACACGTGAGACCTGTATATTAGCAAAATTTATTTTAATAAAAGATAGTTGGTTGAGATCTTGTTTTGCATATTAGCCCTTATTTAGTTCTCACCCAAAAACTTTACATCCTGTCACATCGAATGTTTGGACACATGCATGGAGTATTAAATATAAACTAAAAAATAACTAATTGCACAGTTTACGACTAATTTGCGAGACGAATCTTTTAAGCCTAATTAATTCATAATTTGACAACAAAATGCTACAGTACACACATGTGCTAATGACGGATTAATTAAACTTAATAAATTCGTCTCGCGGTTTACTGGCGGATTCTGTAATTTGTTTTTTATTAGTATCCGAACACTCTCATGTAACACCTGATGTAACATCCCAAAACTTTACACGCTAAATCTAAACAAGGCCTTATTTAATTGATTTTGGTGTAAACGGTTCACGAATCCAATATGTTTGAGAGATATTTAGATTCAAATTCAAATATATAAATTCTTTTAAAATCTAACCACAAAACTACCTGTGAGCCAAATCAGGGCCAATATTTTGATCGCCCGCGTCCTAGCCCAGAGTTGCCTTCGTACTACTATGGTCATTGCCAAAATTTCATCGGCCCGACAAACTAGGATATTTTTTCGGCCTATTCGCTGGTTGGTTTTTAACTGGTTTGAACTGACTGGTGCTGGTTTATTGTGAGAAAAAAATATTATTGACTGGCTGATTTGGACTAGCTGAAACCAATAAACGAACAGGTAGTTTGAAGCAAAAGGTGGCCAATTTTTATTGGCTAAAATTTTGGCCTGGCTTCCTGGCCACACCATCCATGAGCTCGTCAAGATCGCAGAGGTTATCAACTATCAACAACGTGTAGCCATCTAGAGGAGACGTGGGTACAGTTGTCTAAGGGGCTGTTTGGTTCTAACACTAAAGTTTAGTGTCCGTCATATCGGACGTTTGAATGTTAATTAGGAGGACTAAACATGAGTTAATTATAAAACTAATTACATAGATGGAGACTAATTTACGAGATGAATCTATTAAATCTAATTAATCCATCATTAGCGTATATTTACTGTAGCACCACATTGTCAAATCATGCACTAATTAGGCTTAATAAATTCGTCTCGTAAATTAGTCTCAATCTATACCGTTAGTTTTGTAATTAGAATATATTTAATATTCTAAATTAGTGTCAAACATCCGATATGACATGGACTAAAAATTAGCCTGTGTGGAACCAAACACCCCCTAAATTGTGTTCCAAGTTGGTAATTCTCCGTGCCGCTGGCGCTGAATCTCGAGTGTTTCGCGAACCCAAATAATGAAATCGTGGTTGGACTTTTTTTTTGAGCAACTGAAATCGTGGTTGGATTGGACTTTGTAGTTTGTTGATTGGGCCGGCCCAGTAACAAAACCCAAACGTCTTCCGTCTACCACATTGGCCGGAGGAGAGTCACAGACTACAGCGTCGGCCGCCGCACCCAAACGGCGCTGGCGAGCAGCGATGCTCCGCCTCCGAGGCCACCTCCTTTCCGCTGTCCGCGCCGCCTCGCCTCTCCCCGCCGCATCCTTCTTCCCCCTCCACCGCCTCTTTCTCTACAGCACCACCAACACCACTCCCGCCTCTCAGTTCGTCGTGGAGGACTACCTCACCACCAGCTGCGGCCTGACGCCAGAGCAGGCCCGCAGGGCCTCTAGGTACCTGCCCAGTCTCAAGTCGCCCGACAATCCTGACGCCGTCCGGGCCTTCCTCGCCGGAATCGGCATCTCCAAAGCCGAGGTCGCCGCCGCAATCTCCAGGGACCCGCGGTTCCTCTGCTACAAGGTGGACATAACCCTAACCCCCCGCATCGCCCAGCTCCGCGACGTCGGCCTTTCCCCACCCCAGATCTCCCGCCTCATTTCCATCGCCCCCACCATCTTAGTCTTGCCCGGCTTGATCCCCCGGCTCGCATTCTACCTCTCTTTCTTGGGCTCCTACGACAATTTGCACACCGCCCTCAGGAGGAGCATGTACCTGCTCACTCAAAATCTCGAGCGTGTTGTCAAACCCAATTTGGCATTCCTGCGACAGTCTGGCCTAACTGATTCTGATATTGCCAAGATCCTTTTGGCCACCCCGAGCATGCTCGCATTGGAGCTGGGGCGTGTCAAGGAAATTTTGGAGTGTGCCGACTTGTTTGGTGTGCCACGCGATTCTGCGATGTTCAAGCACGCCCTCACGTCCATCCACAATATTAGCCCTGGGAAGATAAATGCTAGGTCAGATTTCTTGAAGAAGACTCTTGGATGCTCTCAGGCTGAGTTGGGCGCTGCTGTGCGGAAGTTGCCAAACGTTCTGAATTTTTCAGAGGGCAGGCTGACTCGTGTGGTAGATTTCCTGAAGACAGAGGTTGGTCTGGATTCCAAGTACATAGTGCGTAGGCCAGCAATCCTCGGCTATAGCTTGCCAAGGCGTCTTATGCCCCGGCATCATGTGCTAAAAGCTCTTAAGGCGAAGGGCTTGGTTGAGAAAGATGTTGACTTTTACACAGCCGTTGCTCTGACTGAGAAAAAGTTTATCAAGAGGTTTATTGATCCTTGCAAGAACAGCGCTCCAGGGCTTGCAGATGCTTATGCTGCTGCTTGTGCAGGCCAGGTTCCTCCTGTAATCCAACCATGACTGCCTGAAATGGAGACATCTTTTGACATGTTAAATCATTCTCATTTAAGTTTGATTTTCTTGTGGATAGATTCATCATGCTATGATTAAGATTGTACCTTGGTAGCATCACATGCATTTGGAAGCCCCAAAGTTTGGGTATCTGCTGCTTTTCGTTCGCCCCTTCACTTGGCTTACTCATTTTGCTTGCTACTTGCTTGAATAAATAGTGATTCTTCCAGTCTTGTTATAGGCATGCTTTGGAATTCTTTTATTTTAGCTGGCGAATCTTTAGATTCGGCTGGTTTCGATTTATGAATTCCTTATCGATTTATTAGATGTACTAGCAGCCTGTTCGCTTGCTCGTAAACGATCGTAAATTTCCAGCCGGGAACAGTGTTTTTCTCTCACACCAAACCAGCCAGCAGTAAATAATCCACGATACGATACGGCCTCCCGAACAGGCTGTAGATTGGTTGCTAATATTTTCACTCCCTCGTGATGATGCCCTAATTCTGTATGTTTGCTGGTTTCAATAGTCAATACATTGTTAAAACATAACTTTTCACCGTAGTTCAAAATTGTAGTTTTCCTCTTTTTGTAGTTGTTTCTAAAGAACTTACTCATTCGTCTCAGTAACAACAGAAGATATTTTATCATCTGGCACAGTGAAATTATTTGAACTGGCCCAGGTGCATACTATGAAATTCTTTTTCATGCTGCTGCTTGCTAACTTTTTTAGTGCAGTTGTATGAAATACTTAACTCCTCACTTATTGATATGTTTAGTTTCAGTTCTGCATTGGAATGATTACTTGATACTATCTGTATATTGTCTTTGAGAAGCTGATTGATAGTTCAATTGCTAAGCACCTGGTTTTTAGTGTGTACCTTTTATTTTCATTGCTCACCTCCTGTATAGATTATAGATTACTAGCCACAGACATAAATGGAAGAGTGAACCTGCAAGTCATTGAACTAAAGCCAATTGAAGCAAGTTAAGTTCAATGCAATCAGAACAATATAGAATGTCAGAAAAGTAGAAGCACACAATTCTGGTAAGAATGGCAATACCTCAGTTAATTGTACCACACCACCAATAGCCAGTATGGCCCCCTATTGACATGCCCCCCTCCCCTCCCCCTAGGCCTAAGTCCTGGCTTCGCCACTGGCAATAGCAGTACCATGTTCAAGAGTTTTTCATCAGTTTACAGAGTCCAACAGTTTCATTTTTGTTGTACCACACCTACACCCTTCCATGCTTAGCATATAGTTTCCATTTATTTGGTCCTTTATTTCTTCAATTGCAGTGTATTCAAGCTAGGAATGTGCTGTGTATCTCTAGAGTAATGCTATGGTGAAACAACATTTACTACGGTTGCAACATGAGCAAGAGTTAGGACTGCTAAAAAGGCAAAATGTTATCCATGCCGTGATTGCCCTTATAGCTTGGTTGCATCATTGAGGTATTTAGGACTTCGGAGACCTAACTTGGGCTGTCTGCTGCTTATACTTTTCCTGCTTTGCTCTGTTTACCCATTATGCTGGCTGCTTGTTTTGATAATGGGTGTTTCTTCCAGTCTTGATAGAAGCATGCCGCCAAATTATTTTGCATGCTTTGAATCCCTCATATTGTATCTTATCAGTTTATAGTTAAAGGAATGATTGTTAATTGATCACCCAATGGTAGAAATATCCTGTGCTATTTTAATTTCTCTGTTGGCACCTACGTTTCACCGTAATTCCAAACTGAAATTCCCTTTTATTTGTTTTGTTAGAAGTTGTTAAACTGCATTTTTGTCATCGGGCACTGAAAGTTCCCCGTGCATGCTGGATTGAAAAATGTCAGTTATTTGTGCTTCTAGTGTTCTGCCTTTGTTTGGGCAGTTGTATGAAGTGTTCAATTCCTCACCTTCGGTTCGTTAGCTTCTGCCTTCTGATGCTGCAGTAGAAAATGATTACTTGGCACATGCACTGATCCACTGAAGATATGCTTTTCTTTATGATCAAACCATTAACAACCTGCCCCATAAGCCTTTTGGGAGTTGTCTGGTTTTTTTTCCTCTAAGCCAAAAAAAAAAAAAAAACTAGACAATCCTAACATGATCTAACGATTCCAGTATATATATGTTGCTTTATATTTTGCTGGTAATTAATTTAGGGTGTTCTAGCATATTTCATTTTATGTTTTAAATTAGCTCCAGTGACGTAGCTTGTCAACTGTATAACCTCCTCGGGGTTGACACAAAAGTTCCCATTGTTTCTGTTGGAGTTGGACACAAGAAACTTTGCTTTCCTTGTTTTACTTTCACCATCACGTGACTTGACTCGTTCTTGCTGAAATTCACTTCTATGCTATAGCATTTCGTTTCCATTAATTTTGATGTTGTTTCTTGAATCACAGTGCCTTCAAGGTGGCATGCTTTTAATCACGGCGTTTCTCATGTTAAACGTTCTGACGAAGCGAACGCTTGAGCTCATAAGACTTCTCCTTGTGCCCAGATCCGTTGCCAATTTCATTCAGTCAATGAATGCGGAGCTGCAAATTTTATGAATTGGATCATGTTAGTTCCACTAGAAAACCCATCCAAATTGCAAGAGGAGAATCTGATCAGAAGAAATGACAAGTTGTGCAACACTAGGGTGTTCATTGTCTCGATACTTTGTCGAAACAGAACCTTTTCACCATAGTTCCAAATTGTAGCTGTCCTCTTTTCATAGTTGTTTCTAACGAACTTACCCATTTGTCTCAGTAACAACAGAAGATATTTTATCATCTTGCAAACTGAAATTATTTGGAATGCCTCAGGTGCATGCTATGAAATTCTTTTTCATGCTGCTGCTTGTCTTTTTTTAGTGTGCAGTTTTATGAACTATGAAATACTTAACTCCTAACTTATTGATATGTTGAGTTTCAGTTCTCCAATGGAATGATTACTTGGCACTATCTGTTTATTGTCTTTGAGAAGCTTATTGGTAGTTCGATCACTAAGCACCTAGTTTTTAGTGTGTGCGTTTTTCATTCCTCAGCTCCTGTGTAGAGTATGGATTACTAGCCAGAGACACAAATGTTAGAGTGAACCTGTTAAGTCATTGAACTTCAATATAGAACGACAGAAAAGTTAAAGCAGACATTTCTGGCAAAAGTGGCAATACACAGTTGCAGCACTGCTATGGCAAGACAACTTTGCTATAGTTGCAGCACTAGCAAGAGTTGGAATTGCTACGGTGCTCAGTGGCTTGATCCAACCAACTAGGGCATTAAAGCAAACGGTGGTCGATTTTTGTTGGCTGACCAAATTTTGGCATGGCTTCCTGGCCACAATCCAAACATGCTCCTAATCCACTTGCACACCCAAACTATTCGATTCCGAGTCCTGTTTTGCGGCGACTATCTCCACTGCCGCAGCAGTTAGACATGAGTTCGTCAAGATCGGCAGAGGTATCAACATATCAACAACATCAACATGTTCCAAGTTGGTAATTCTCCATGCCGCTGGCGCTGTTTCGCGAACCCAAATAGTGAAACTGTGGTTGGGCTGGACTTTGTAGTTTGTTGATTGGGCCGGCCCAGTAACAAAACCGAAACGTCTTCCGTCTACCACATTGGCCGGAGGAGAGTCGCAGACCACAGCGTCGGCCGCCGCACCCAAACGGCTCCGGCGAGCAGCGATGCTCCGCCTCCGAGGCCACCTCCTTTCCGCTGTCCGCGCCGCCTCGCCTCTCCCCGCCGCATCCTCCCTCCCCCTCCACCGCCTCTTTCTCTACAGCATCAAGAACACCGCTCCCGCCTCTCAGTTCGTCGTCGAGGACTACCTCACCACCAGCTGCGGCCTGACGCCAGAGCAGGCCCGCAAGGCCTCCAGATTCTTGTCCCACCTCAAGTCCCCCGCAAATCCAGACGCTGTCCGGGCCTTCCTCGCCGGAATCGGCGTCTCCAAAGCCGACCTCACCGCCGGAATCGCCCGGGACCCGCGGCTCCTCTGCTGCAATGTGGACAAAACCCTAACCCCCCGCATCGCCCAGCTCCGCGACATCGGCCTCTCCCCGCCCCAGATCTCCAGTCTCATCTCCGTCGCCCCCAATGTCTCCCGATCTCCTAGTATGGTCCATCGCCTCGCATTCTATCTCTCTTTCTTGGGCTCCTACGACAAGTTACACACCGCCCTCAAGAGGAGTACGTACCTGCCCACTCAAAATCTCGAGCGTGTTGTCAAACCCATTATGGCATTCCTGCGACAGTCTGGTCTATCTGATTCTGATATTGCCAACCTCCTTTTGCGCGCCCCACGCTTATTCACATTGGAGACAGACCGTGTCAAGGAAATTGCATTGTGTGCCGAAATGCTTGGTGTGCCACGCAGTTCAACAATGTTCAAGTATGCCCTTGTGTCCATCTACAGCATAAGTCCTGGGAAGATAAATGCTAGGTCAGATTTCTTGAAGAAGACTCTTGGATGCTCTGAGGCTGAGTTGGGCGCTGCTGTGCGGAAGTTGCCAAACGTTCTGAATTTTTCAGAGGGCAGGCTGACTCGTGTGGTAGATTTCCTGAAGACAGGTGTTGGTCTGGATTCCAAGTACATAGTGCGTAGGCCAGCAATCCTCGGCTATAGCTTGCCAAGGCGTCTTATGCCCCGGCATTATGTGCTAAAAGCTCTTAAGGCGAAGGGCTTGGTTGAGAAAGATGTTGACTTTTTCTCAGCTGTTGTTATGGCTGAGAAAAATTTTATGAAGAGGTTTCTTGATCCTTGCAAGGACAGTGCTCCAGGGCTTGCAGATGCTTATGCTGCTGCTTATGCAGGCCAGGTTGCTCCTGTAGTCCAACCATGACTGCCTGAAATGGAAACATCTTTTGACATGTTAAATCATTCTCATTTAAATTTGTTTTCTTGTGGATTGATTCATCATGCTATGATTAAGATTGTACCTTGGTAGCATCACGAGCATTTGGAAGGCCCAAAGTTTGGTTATCTGCTGCTCTTCTTTCGCTTCTTTACATGGCATACTCATTTTGCATGCAGCTTGTTTGGATAATTAGTGTCTCTTCCAATCTTGTTATAGGCATGCCTGGTCTCAATACTTTGTTGAAACAGAACCTTTTCACCGTAGTTCCAAATTGTAGTTGTCCTCTTTCCATAGTTGTTTCTAACGAACTTACCCATTCGTCTCAGTATCAACAGAATATATTTTATCATCTGGCACAGTGAAATTATTTGAACTGCCCCAGGTGCATGCTATGAAATTCTTTTTCATGCTGTTGCTTGCCTAACTTTTTTAGTGTGCAGTTGTATGAAATACTTAACTCCTCACTAATTGATATGTTTAGTTTCAGTTCTTCAATGGAATGATTACTTGGCGCTATCTGTTTATTGTCTTTGAGAAGCTGGCTGATAGTTCAATTGCTGAGCACCTGGTTTTAGTGTATACCTTTTTTTCATTCCTCACCCCCTGTATAGAGTATGGATTACTAGCCACGGACATAAATGCAAGAGCGAACCTGTAAGTCATTGAACTAAAGCCAACTGAAGGCAGTAAATTCCAATGCATCAGAACAACATAGAATGTCAGAGAAGTTGGAGCAGACAATTCTGGTAAAAATGGCAATACCTCAGTTTAATTGTACTACACCACCAATAGCCAGTGGTGAAGCAAGGGAGGGCTGGCGCGCCCCCCTAACTTTGCTGTTTTATATTTTAATATTATACCCTTTAATCTACCATGTAATTAAATAATAAATGGCTCCCTATTGACATCTCCCCCCTCCCCTCCCCCCTAGACATAAGTGCTGGTTTCGCCAATAGCAATAGGAGTGCCATGTTCAAGAGTATTTCATCAGTTTACAGAGTCCAGCAGTTTCATTCTTGTTGTACCACACCTACACTATGTTGGAGAAACAAATGCTTGTGTAGAATTCTGATCTTAGGCTCCTGCTCCAGAATCTAAAGGATTCTAATATGATGGAGATGATTGTTTAAGCTGCTTCTTCAATACTCTGTTGGTGTTTAATTGTGTGTGAGCATATTTTGTTTTATGTTCTCTGTAGCCACATGTTGTGTTAAAAAATGGATTGTTCTCACTCCTACCTTCATACTGCTACTGTTAATTGTATAGCAAACTCTTGGTTGACCAAAAACATCTCATATTGTCTGGCTGGAGTTGGACTGAAGATTGGATAATTTTGGAAGACTTTCATCTTCCATGATTGTGTGACTCACCCTTGCTCGTTGCACACTGTCGCTCGTTGCACACTGTCGGATACCACAAGAAGGGGTACCCTAAGCAAGAACCAAAAATATTGCTTAAACCTTGTAAAAATCAAAGCCAAAAGACTACCGTCAGGTCTCTACAGAATTCTCCGATTTGCTCGAGGCCTTGAGCCGAGGCCTCATACGAAAGGCCAAAAGCGCCCGGCCGAGGCCTCGCCCTGAAAGGCCTCGGATGGGATGTCAATTCTCCGATTCGCTCGAGGCCGGGCTCGGCAAACATACTTGTAACCTTCGTCCCGACCAAACTCCTCTGACGAAACGTCACGTCCAGATTAATGCGCCCAACTACTCCCACAAACGTCAGCCGCACTCAGCTACAGTACGGGCAGAACGACCGACGGGACAGGGGACCGGGCGCAACAGGGGTTACCTGCCACTGTGCTCATCACTGTACTACCTAACCCCTGTGCCAAGGACAAAGCAGCATGGAAGGTCAAGTCCATGTCCCTGTAGTCTCGGGAAACCGCAGGAGAGCCCAACTGCTCGTTCTACGCCTCGTCCGAGACCCCCCGGCAGGGTCTCAGACGTACTATTCCTTCTCCGCCTTGGCTGAGGCCGGCTCGTCCCGCATCCTCGTCATCTCCGCCTCAACTGCCCCTCTGGCAGGCCGTCCCATCCGTGTAAGTACCCCTGGTTGCGCCTACGACAGCCACGATTGGCAGGGCATAGCAACAGGGGCGATGGGACGATGGTCAAATCTTCTTTTTTACCATTCCCCACTGACGGTGCAGGGACTACCGTGCTTTGCGGACACATGCCCTGCACTTTTCCACCTAAACCGGGTACGACGCTGACCACCGAGACCGTCGCATCGTACTCAGGTCACCTCCCAGGCCTCGGCAAATCAGGCCTCGGCGCGGTCGGCCACAAACACCTGCCAGGCCTCGGCGAACCACCAAGTCAAAAATTCACAAGGCACGGCATGTCACCTACAGAGGAGGCCATGCTGACTAAACGTCAACGAGGACCCCTACGACTTCAACAGCCTCAAGCATGGCCGGCATGACGCACCAGTGATCAAGTACCAATTGTCATTCCCGACACTGTGCTGCTATAGGAATAGGCCACAGTACTGGATCTTCCTTCCTCGCTAAGGCTCCACGTGTAGCTCTCTCATGTACTCCTGGCTCCTTCCTTGTGGCTATAAAAGGAAGCAGCCAGGGCCGTTTCTATGGATCAAGACCACGCCGGCCCTCACGCGCAAAACGCACTCACTCAATTCACGCACGCTCCCACGCCGCCTGAGAGCAGCGACTCAAGCAGCCCGCACCACTCCACGCCGAGACCTAGGACTAGCTCCCTCTCTCACCTAGCTTGTAACTCCCTACTACAAGCACTTCGGTGCAAAGAATACAAGATCGATCTCCTAGACTGGACGTAGGGCACCGATCGCCTGAACCAGTATAAACCTTGTGTCTCTTTACATCACTATCCGGGATTAGGGGCACACAGTTCACATTTACTGGTTGGTTGAGGACCCCCGGTTTGAAACACCGACAGTTGGCGCGCCAGGTAGGGGCCTCTGCGTGTTAGCGTGATCGTCCCAACAAGTTCCGGATGGCTGACCCCATACGTCCACTACGTCTCGGCATGGTGGTCTGGTTTGGGAGCCTAGAGTTCATGGCTCTAGGATGTGAGTACGATATGATACTCCTCACACCCAGAGCCCCACCGGCCGGCGACAACGTCGCGCATCGGTAGCCTGGGCACAGGCGGTGCCCGGGCCGCCGCTCTCGTCACGCTCACCAGGCACAACGCAAGCGGGACTACTCCGACGCCACGTGAACTCAGGGCTGCGCGCCGCACTCCGCCGACATCCCTTGCCCGGCTGTTGGTACAGAGTCCATGGCTGGGGACCTGTCTAGCCTAAGCCTAGGCAGGGGAGAGACGCCAGTAGCGCGCAGCGACGTCCCGTCGTCAAGCTCTGCACCGCCACTCCCTGAGGACGACTCAGGCGGAGCGGAGCCCAGCGGTGGCACCATCCCCGTACCTCTTCGGGCTGAAAAACATCGCCGCCACCTACGCTTTCGCTTATGCCTCCGTGCACGCGGAGCCCTCGGGACACCACCAACGACTCGCCCTCGACTTCTCCACCACAATCTCGACCCACACCCACACTGAATCCTCGGAGGAGGACGAGGCATGGGCCGGAGCGGACTTCTCTGGGCTTCGTGACCCCGAGGCTATGCGTCGCTTCTTGGTCGCAAGCGACTACTGCTTCGGCCACTCCGACTCCGATGACGAAAGCACTTACGATCCCACTCGAGAGTGTTTCCACGTCGGGCTCGGAATGCCAGGGGCAAGTGACGAGGCTGAGAGGGTAGGCAACCGGTCCCCACTCCGCCAAGGGGCGGGCGACGCCACACCCCCGCTCGTTGAGTTCCGGGCGGCGCGGAACGTGAACATCGCCCTCGGGGATATCCGATGCCTGGACCTGGAGCAGCTCCGTGAGCTCCAGGCAAAAGTCGACCAAGATCGACTCGTGCTGCTGCAGCTCCGAGACACTCTCGAGCAGGAGCAGCAAGGCCGCGGTGACGGCGGAGGGGCCCGGCAGAGGGTCCACGACGTACACCGCCGCATCAACAACGACGAAGGAAGTGAGCAACCCCCAATCTTCAATCGCGCTAGCCAGAACGTCGCGGCGGCGGCGATGCTAGTCCGAGCGATGCCCGAGCCCTCTACCACGGAGGGGCGACGGGTCCGCGACGAGCTCCGAGACCTTCTCGAGACCGCCGCAGTACAGCAGTCCGAGAGCTCCGCGTCTCGGCAACGTGAGAACATCTCGAAGCGGCCCTCGGTGCACGATCGCCTCAAGGCCCCCTCAGTCCACGACCACCTCAGCGACCGACGCGAGGCGCAAGAGGACCACGATGTGGTCAGCAGGCGATGGCGCCACGACAACGACGGGCTCGCCCGAGGTTACCACCCACACCGAGGTGGCCGCTACGACAGCGGGGAGGACCGCAGTCCTTCTCCTGGGCCGCCTGGCCCTAGAGTCTTCAGCAAGGCCATCCGCGGCGCTCCATTCCCTGCCCGGTTCCGGCAACCGGCCAATCTCGCGAAGTATAGTGGCGAGACCAACCCCGAGCTGTGGTTGGCCGATTACCGCCTGGCTTGTCAGCTAGGTGGCGCGAACAATGACCTGCTCATCATCCGTAACCTCCCCTTGTTCCTGTCAGACTCGGCGCGAGCCTGGCTCGAACACCTCCCTCCCTCACAAATTCACAACTGGCGCGACTTGGTCAAGGTCTTTGTCGGGAATTTCTAGGGCACATACGTGCGCCCCGGGAACTCCTAGGACCTCAAGAGTTGTCACCAGAAGCCAGACGAGTCTCTCTGAGACTTCATCTGGCGCTTTTCCAAGCAACGCACCGAGTTGCCCAGCGTCGATGACTCGGAAGTTGTCCAGACTTTTCTCTCCGGCACCTCCTGCCGAGACCTGGTCCGAGAGTTAGGCCAGAACGTACCAACTTCGGTGGCCGCGCTCCTCGACGTCGCCACCAACTTCACCTCGAGCGAAGAAGCTGTCGGGGCCATCTTCCCCGATGGCGAAGCAAAGGGGAA